TAGCATTCGGTAGCCATTTTCACCATGAAGATAAGATAAAGTCCGAAATTTTTTTTTTTCAAATTAAAGTACATTACATTAGCTTTAATTTAAGATATATATAAAAGTGTCAGACCTTCCGGAACACTTTCAAAAGTTATGTTGAAAAAATTAATTTTTTGTGAAAAAGTTGTCATTTTAAATCCCTCCCTGTGGGCAGCAAAAAGGTCAAATTTACAAAAAAAATATGNTGTGGGCAGGTTAAGGGTTAAATTTATGAAAAAAATATACCAAATGAAAGGTAATGATATCAAGCATCTATAAAAAAAAAAATTATATTGATATGTTCATTTTTGAAAAAGTTACGGCAGTTTTTAGTAAAAAAAATTGAAAAAATTTCGAAAATTAGCGATTTTTAAATTTGTAATTTTTTTGGAGGTTTCCCCCATTTACGGGGAACGAGGGAATTTTTTTCAATTTTTAAGGGTAATGTCTTCGACTAGATACGATTTGTGATCTTTTGACGTATCGTTGAAAGAAATCCGTTCGGTGAGAGCTGAGAAAAAGTGGTAACAGACACAAAAAAAAATAAATAAACACATCTTAGTAAAACCAATACCTTCTCAGCTTCGCATCGAAGCTAAAAATCACTCTGTATAATTCTTTATACACTTACCAGTTTATACAAGTTTAATTATGAATTTTACAGTGGGCCAAGATCCTAATTAATTAAATTGTTCTTACTTCTAAACATTTTGTTTGTCTACCTTATCAAATAATTAACTAAATGCATTTACAAAGAATACTTCATAGTAAAACCAATACCTTCTCAGCTTCGCATCGAAGCTAAAATTTGATGGTGCTCTGGAAAATAGTTACAATTAAATTTCTATTGTTCCATGAAATGAATAATATACTTTAATAATAAAAGTTCAAATATTATATTTAAAAAAAAAATTTTATAATTACAAAAAATTATAAATATAGTTTTTAGGATGAAATCATCCTAATATAAAATAAAAACATAAGTGCATTAATTATAAATATTATTAATAACTATTGATTCAACAATATTTTGTATCTCTTTTTTATATAATCTATAGTTGTAAACTATTCCAAAATATTTCAAAACCGGATGGAAAAAAATGTATATATATTTATATATTATTATTATTTTAAGCCTCTTAGTATGATATAAAGGTATAAAAATTACATGTCTAAGTATATATAATAAAAATGGAAATAAAATAAAAGTATTCTAGTTAAAATATACTAGTGAATGTATGTACTTTTATTTTAATAATAATATATAAGAAACATGTTTTTTGTTCGTATAAAAATTCTACAACCATTATTTATCACATATTTTTAGCAAGGAAAATTAAGTTACTTTAAAAACTGAACCTTATATGATACAATAAATACTAATATATTCAAATAATAATACATTTAAATATAGTAATAATAATTAAGTACCTATAAAATAATGTCAACTGATTATCAATTATCACACTAAAACAATAATTTAATATATTATTGTACTATATGTACTATAATACATTAAAGGATGACCATAATACTTTAATACATTTATTGGTCTATTTAGATACATTAATTATCATCACTAAATATTATGTTGGTAAATACTACAAAAAGAATAAATAATAATTTTAATAGCTATTAATAACTCTTAACTTAAGTCACATAGAAAATTGTTTCTAAAATTTACAATGATAAATTAAAAATTATTTGAAATGGCAGTAGCACAGCTGGATTACCTGTTTAAACTAGGCATAATAATATTAAAAAATATAGATAGTTAAAATTTAATGAACTACTGATATATTTACAAAAGTATTTGTTACAACTAAAAAAAATTAAAAACATAAAATTTGAATAAAATATTTATATAGTTAACTATTCTTTTAAATAATATAAATTTTACAACAATCAATGAGGTAATCCAAAAGTTTTAAGCATTAAGTAGTTTGAAAAAAATACAATATGTTATTTTTATTCTTGCAACTGTTCATTTGTAAAAAGTAAGTAATCTATCATATAGGTACAATTGTTAGATACAATTTCATTTATGATTAGCAAATTGGATTCTACTAAGCATTAAAGGCATAAAATTATTTAATATTTTTTTAAATACTTAATATTTACAATATAAAAGGTCACTACTTAAGTTATATTAAGTTAATTTAACTTTTATAGCAATTAAAAGTTAAGTTATGATAAAATTCAAATAAATTTCTGATATAAATATAATTATATATAACTTAATAATTATTAAGTAAATATAATTATTAGTATAATATACTAAACTAAACACAAGTTTCAATGTTTTCATCACTATCTGATTTATTTTTTTTAGTAAGCATATATCCTGATTTTTGAAATTTTCTATTATCTTTTTTTCTTTTGTTTAAATCAATTTTTCTTTCTTTAATTGGTGTAATTGTTTCATAGGTATGATTCAATGGATTTGCACTAGAACAATCTGATACTATAACATGTGGGCTACTACATGTTTCTTTTTCACTAATATTACGTCCACAATCAGTTACACTATCTGAGATCCCTTCGCAACTTGCTCCACTCATTTGACTAGTAACAAACTCTTCAGTTGAATATTCTCTATGTTGAGTGTACTTGTGATGATATTGTGATTGCCCATCTACTTCTACATACTCATGATCTGTAATAATGCTGTCAGAAAATAATCCACTATTTTGTTTGACATCTAAATGAAGATTATTAGATTTACCATTTTTGCAATAATAACCATTATCTGTAAATTCAGGTGAAGTGAGAGGAGGACGGCACGACAAATTATTTTGTTTTCTCCTTTGTTTTTTGAAAAATTTTTTTGCTACAGTTATTTGATGTGGATTGTAATAATCAATTTGACGTTCTGCATTTAACTGATGTCGCATCATTACAAGTTGTAATTGTGGTGATCTGAAAGACTGTAGTGATACTACTTCACTATTAGATTTAGGTCTTACAGACTGAAAACTATCAGTTCTAATTGATGGGACCCTAACAGAATCAACAACTTTTTTTCTCCCCCAACGATGATCTTTCAATTCAGCAAAAGCATTTTGAACATCAATTCGCACAAAAACATAAAACCACATGATTAAAAAACTTTGAAGAATATTAAAACAAGCATACCAAATACCTAACCATAATTGGATAGTTGGATTATACATTACTACTATATTACAATAAGCCATGGTAATATTCAATAAATACCCCAATAGAGTACCATTGAAAAATCTTAGTTGAACAACTGGAGATTGTTCTGGATCTTCCACTTTGCTTGATGGTGTAGTAAGACTACGGCAGCTATTGTGCTCAACCATACTGTTAGTTTGATCTAATAACTCTAAATCAGTAGCTTGAGTGCCTTCAGAAAGCTGAACATTTGAATTTAAGTCATTAGCAGCACATGACACTAGTAAGCTAAGTATAAAAATACAACTAATCACAATCAAAGCAATTACAACAATGAAACCAAAAGCAGGTCCAGGTCTTAAAAAACAGTAATTTCCTTCGTGACCTCCATAGCCTGATAAGTTAACAGCACTAGACATTCCACACAATAAAATTGGTATACCCCAACCAACCATATATATACCAAGTAAAGGTTTTTTTACTACAACATCTTCATGAGGAATATTCATGCCACCACCATCATCTGATGGAGTACTGGCTGGCAGGAATGGTTTACGAACTCTTTTATATAGAACCCTAAAATTAATAAGAAAAAAATTAATACATCTCTATATATTATATTTCATTTTTATATAGATGTTAAATAATTTGTTGAAAATAGCAAATTAAAATATTATAGAAATTAAATAAAAATAATTAATTTTAACAGGATTTGAAAACAGTTTCTAAATTTATTTCTATTTTTTATAAAATTAATCAACTAGTTACTCTAACATTTATATTTTTTTTGATTTAGAATCTAATAAAACCACTGATAAATCTGTAGGATGATTCCTTTTGCCAAAAACTCATATAAATTTTTTTCTTTAGTGGTATTACTAATCTAAATCATCTATTATCTAAAATGAAAGCATATACACAGATATGTAAAAAAATGCTTAGTAATTTAAAATTTAAATAAAACATTAATACACGTGTTTTTAAACTTATCTAGAGGTTCATCAATAATTATTATCAAAGATTTAATATATGATAATTTTTACATAATCGCTTAAACAACCTAATGTAACTAAATAAAAAACACGTATATTGAGTTATACTAAGTAATATAAATGTATTTATTGGGAGTTACTACTTTTTTGTTAGTACAAGTGTTATATGGCTTTTCTCTTAAGTATTAGATTAAAAAATAATAATTTTGGTTGGAATCAGTATTTAGTGTAAAAAATGCTTGTTTTTTAGTTATAGAAAGACAATATAAATTTAAATTAAACAAAAAATGTATTTTGACTTTTCCTATTTCAATGCCTCAAATAAAAAATGAACTTTAATAACTCACAATAATAATTTTGAAATTAATAAGTAATTAATAAATACTTACTTAATAGTTACAGTCATCCAGAACATAGGAGCTAGACTAAAAAATTGTATTAATAGACCAATTATTTGGCATGATCTTGTATTTTCTGTTCGATAAATTCCATTACTAAAAAAGAATTATACTTCAAATTTGCTCAATTTTATAAAAAATGTACTTTGTTTTTGAAAATTAAACAAAACTTTTACTGTACCAGTAAATTAAATAAAACATTGACATTGCAAACCACGTGTTAGGTAAAGAGTGTTTCAACTTTTTAGCCATTTGTATATTATTATTTAATATTACATAAAGCGCCACAGAGTATAATAAAAATGTACAACTCATAAATGTCCCGATATAAACAGAAACATGTGTGAATAATCTTTCCCTTTTTATAGTACTAAAACAAAATTATAAAACATAGTACTGATAAATATGTCACAAATAAATATTGTAGAATCTAAGTAATATTGAAAACTAATTCATTGTGACATATTACATAAAATATTATAACTAATAATATTATTAATTTTAATGTTAATAAAGTTTTGAACAATAGCATTTACAAAAAAAAAAACTAATTAAAAAAACTTTATCAAGATCACAATTTTTCTAAAAAAAAAGGGGGCCTTTAAATTTAATAAATGGAACCAATTAATTATTAGATGTTCTCTTTAAAAAAATTAAAATAGTTATAACAAAAAAAAAAAAAAAAGTCTAAAAATAATTAAAATATGTATATCTACTTTTCCTCACCAATATACCAACTATTAGGGGTTGGCTACCTTTATCCTAAACTTCTACTTGATACAATTAAAGTATGTATAAAAAAATTTATTTAAAATATAAAATAACGTGTGATTTTTTTATGTTTAGCTCACTATTTAGATTATTTTATTTGAAATTATTTATTAATTATGATGTGTTATTTAAATGATAATTTAAAAAAATTATGAAATTATGTTTTGTGTTAGCTTAGGTCATAGCTGTTTTCTTTGGTTTGTAGTAGAGCACTTTCAATATGTTGCAATCTAATATAATATTATTAAATTACAAATTAACACATTTCAAAAATTAAAAATAAATTGAAAATTACCCCACTTTGGTTATAAAATATAATTTTGGTTCTATGAAAAATCTGTATAGGTGATTGGCTAAATATGTTACACATAATATCTTAAAAAATACAAGTGTTATAAATAAATTTTTTTTTTTTAATCATTATGAATCTTTGATGAGGTGTTTGAAAAGAAAATTTAAATTTCTACCACCATCCCTTATGCTTAAAACTTCAATGTATCAACTTCAGATTTTCAAATGGTAAAACTATTTTTTTTACACCATTAGATTTAGTTTAATAAAAAAAAAATTTTATTTTATGTAATATTAAGTGCTCCACGGCTCTCTAAAGTTTAGGGTTTATCCAGAAAAAATTATAACAGACTCAAATGTTATAGGTCGTAAATCGAAAAGCACTATTCTGACTACGTGCGTTGACATGGTAAACAGGTAGCTCTTATCGCTACATAAAATAATAATGTGACCATGTTGGAAAACTACTGAATTTTTTTTATAAAATATCATAAATTTTAAAGTAGCGTATCTTATTTAAAATTCATAATTTCTTCTTATTATTTTTTTTTTATAACAAACGAAAATATATAAAAATAATATGGGTTGCCATTTGAAAATCTGAAGTTGATACAAGTTCTAAATATAAGGGATGATGATAGAAATTTAATTTTTCTTGTGATGCAGCTCATCAAAGACCCATAATGATTAAAAAATTTATTTATAACACTTGTATTTCTAAAGATATTACGTGAGACATAGTTAGCCAATTACCCTGTATACTAATTTTTCAAAATTATAAAATTATATGTTTTGTTATAAAACATCACTAAAAAAAATATGTAAAGACATAAAGCAGAACCTTGGTGCACTCCTACTCTTACCCTAAAACTTTCTGTTACTCCTCCCACATTTTTTACCCTAGTACGAGTGCCATCAAATATATCCTCTATTATATTAATGTACATATTTCGGACTTATTAATGTCCATTTTAAAACCTCTCTTGGTACTCTATCATACGTTTTCTCAAAATCTATAAATACCATACACAACTTTTTCTTCTTTTCCCTATACTTTTCTATTAGTTGTCTTAGTTCTATTATTTGTTCCCAAATCTTTTTACTATGACTCATAAGCTTTATGCATCTATAATTTCCACACTCCTGTATGACTTCTTTTCCTTTAAATATTGGTACTACAATACTATTCCTTGATTCTTTTGGCATTTTGCCTTCTAATAAGATATTATTAAAAAAATCCTTTAACCATTTTATGACAACATCGCCTAATATTTTACATACTTTTACAACTTAAAAATTGTAAGTATAACTACTTTTATTAAGAAATTTAATAATATTGAATTTAGCATATTACTATAATTAAAAAACCATCTTACTTATTGGTGGGATATATAACATTACGTAATAACGTCTGACCCATTGTTAATGCAAAGTAACCAAATCTATTGCACCTATAAATAAGCATTTGTCCTCTAATATCTTCTAATTGACAACTTGAATTTGAATAAATATCCCAGAATCCTGATAATGGATTCCACCATGACGGACTAGGTCTTATACTAATATACTGATCATAATTTTCAGGTTGCCTTAAGGCAATAATTAAGGGTTCAGGTATTATTTCCATATCCATTCCAATCAATTTAGATACCAATACACAAGATTTGATTTCAATAGGAATTAAAGACATATTGTCATTTGCAACCATCAATGGTTCTGGAAACATTTTACCATCTTCAAAAACTGTGAAGACCAATTTTAGGTCTTGATTTTGCATATCACTTTTATTTTCAGTTGAAAATAATGACTCTGGAATCTCTATTAAAGCATCAATGATCTAAAAATTAAATATCTTATTATTAACAGCAATATGCGAGAAAAAAATTATTTCTTTTTTTTTTAATACCCACTTTATTTTGAGGAAGAGTGTGATTGTTGTAAACATAGCACATTAAAGAATTTATTGTAATAGGAGAATCAACATCTCTTCCCCACACACAAGTTAACCCATTGAAGTTTTCTTTTGAAATAATGAACTCATCCATAGCTATTGCAGAAGTCTATTAAAGAAAATATTTAAATTAATGAAAAAAATTTAAAAATTTTATAGAGAATGACAAATATTTAGGTAAAAACTACAATTACCCATCGAGAATTTAGGACGTTTGAAAATTCTAATGCAGTTTCTAAGGCATTTACAAGTCTAGAAGTTGACTTATCATTCTTTTGACTTAATAATAATAATTCTTTAGGTAACTCAGCCATCAAACTTATCAAATCTATAACAACTGATGTCAGCTAATAAAATACACAAGTGTTAATAATGTTCTGAATCACAAATTAATATTACTCTATAATACCGATTTTTCTTCATGCATAACTTCAAGATAATCATCTACTATATCAGCAATATAGCTTACATCAAGAGGATCTTTTATCTCATTAAAATGATCTCTTGTGTAGTTAAACAGCTGTCTAGCTGTTTCTGAGCTGTCTTTATGTGTTATATTTGTCTAAAAAAATTAATTTGTATAAATATAAGCAAGAGAAGGTGTGGCCGAGTCAGTAATGCTGCAGTGCTTGATGCGCACTACCACGAGTTCAAAATACGGTCACGGGCGGCTTCATTAGCCAAACGAGAGATCAGTTCGGTAATTGGAGCCGCCATCCCTCTCTCCAGCAACGGACTAACCACCCATTCCGGAGTATCAATGGTGTAGAAACCTCCTCCTTTGGGGAGGCCACAATAGCCCATAATGGGCGTATAAAACGTTAAAAAAATAAATAAATAAATAAAAATAGGATGTTTTTATAGATAAATAAATCATTACTTTTGATTGAGTATAAAATATTCGAGTAATTGGGCTTATAAATGGACAATCCGAAGCATTTATTATTTCCCACTTGCCATTTTTGTTGCAATGTCTACTAACAGTACCTCTAGCTAATGGTTCTACTTCATCATTTGCTTGACATTGTTTAGTAGTTGTTACATCTGAAATGGTACGAGTCCAAACATATGTTCCTTTGTTGTCTCTACTTTCTAATTAAATTTATTTTTAATTATCAGTAATTATTATTCTATATATAGGAAGATTAAAATAATTACCTTCAACTGGACAAAATTTAGTTTTGTTAGAAATGATAGTTAAGAAAATTGTCTGAACACGGGGTCCACTAGTAGTATTCAGTGTACAATCATATTTGCCAGTATGATTAGAATTAAGTTTTGAAATTGTAATATTACTATTAGAAAAAAAAAATAAACAATTGATATTTTTACTATAACCCAATCACAGAATAAAAATAATTTAATTTTTTTTTGGATATCTTAAGTTACATATAATTCTTGAATTATTAGCTATGTATTACTTTTAAGTTCATCCCTTATGCCTTATAAGGTGTTAAATTTATTTTTCTTATATGTAAAAACTTATTTTAAATATTATAAATGTTTAAGGTATTATTTTAATATTAAATGGCTTTTAAATATTTAAGAAAATTTACATATATAATATATAAGGTATTACAAATATAGATTACTTATCAATGTAAATAGATTATTTAATACTACATTTAAGAAAAAATAGAGATTTTTTTATTCTAAAAACCCTTAAAATATGTGTGAATATTGTAAGTATAAACTATTTTGTTTAAATAAATGATACCAATTTTTAATAATCCCTTATATATTATATATGTATATTTTCTTAAAAATTAAAAAAAAACTACATAGAGTTATAAATAATAAAGAAAGAAAGTTAGGTTAAAAATTTAAATGACATTTACTATTAAAATAAAAACGCAAACATTTTATTATATTCAAGATGTTTTTATATTCGAAAAAAAGTTGACATCCATACAAGGCATAAGGGAATAACTTAAAAAGTATTACACAGCTAATAATTCAAGAATAATATGTAACTAAAAGTAACCAAAAAAAATATTTCAAAATGACTTTTATTCTGTAAATAATGGAGTGATTTATGATAAAAAAATCATCCAATATTACCCATGCATATTTTTATAAAAGTTGTATTATTGTGCATATTAAAACTTTATAAAAAGTATTAAATTGATTGGTCAAAGTAATAAAAAACTGTATAAGCTTATCTGACCCCTTACTTGATAATCATACAGATATGTTTATAAATTAATTGAAAAAATTCATTTAAAAAAACTTATTATATGATAAAACATTGAAAAATTAGTTAATGCTAAAAAACTTGCTTAACGAAGTTTAAAATTATTATTTTTTTAATGAAAGAACTCAATGATTTTAAGATATCCAAAAAAAATCTTAATTATTTTTATTCTGTGAGTAATCGAGTAGGTTATGATAAAAACATCATTCTGTAAATGTGTTTATATTGATACGTAATAATAGTAAAAATAAATATCTAGTTAACTAAAAAATTATTGCAGTGAAGGAATTGTTTACATTTTATTTTTTGTAGAAAATAAATTTATATTTAATGTGTAATGTTACATACATTTTTGGTCTCGAGGAAAATGAATTTAAGTTTTTACTTTTTTTTTTTTTACAAAAAATGTAAGTATATTTTTTATTGTAAGTAATTACGAAAATAAATTATCATTTTTTTTATATATTCAAATTTTAAAGAACTCTGTTCTAAAAAGTGATTTAATTGTCACTTTTTTTTTGACAAAAAATTTATTTACTGTTAATTTATTTATTTATAAATAAATAAATTTATTTATTGTTATTTAAATAACAATTAATTTATAGACAAATGTATAAAATAAAATAAGTTGATTACCTTTGAATAAGGCCTGTATTTATGAAATCACTATCTTTAATACTTATAAAATTATCTGAATTTAATACAGCAATATTCCACGAGAGAACAACCCCTTCTAAAACATCAGGACCAATAGCTCGACATAGGATATCAATAGAATCACCTTCAAATAAAACCTATAATATTGTAATATTTTAATTTAAGTATGTAACTTAAAGCTAAGAGAAAATAAAAATGTATAAGATCTCCCAAGGAGAATAGTATTAAACATTGTACTTCCACATAAAAACATGATATTTTTCTGAATTATTTATAAGTTTTATTCCATTTTTTTAGAATCTAGTAGTCAGCTAATAGTTATTTTCCAGAGGATGTAAAAATAATTAACAACAGTTTAAGCCATGGGGGCTGTAATATTTCTGTACTTAGGTTTTTGTTTAGATTATCATAAAAAGCTTACCAAAGGAAAGCTTAATTTTATTAATAATAATTGCTGCAAAATCTATACTACAAAGATGACAACTCAAATTTAAATTAAAAACTGATAGTTAGGATTGTGTTTTATATTACTTTCATGAAAAATACTTGGTAGTGCAATAGCACTTTCTGTTTCCCTCATCTAGGTGTCCTTGGGTAAAATACTAAATTATTTTTTAGAAAAAAGGTGTAGGATGATCAATTTGATAACATTGTAATGTAAAATGTATATCATCACGGATTTGAAATTCACTTAGGGGCAATTTAGAATATTAAACAAAGTCAACTTAATAATATAAACCAGGGCAATTAATTTGTATGGTAAACCAGAAAATTTGTTTTCAAAGATTGGAAAGAAACAAATATAATTTTAAAAATTCATTAAAACTGAAAATAGACAACATATAAACTTAATATGATTTACTCCTTGGATGTATCTTGAATAATTTATCTGAAGGGGTATAGTTCCATATTATATTTTAAAAATTTGAATAAGAAACCTATCAGGATACTTCTCCACCACATTGCTTTATTCATTCCTCTCCCATCCAAAAAGAAATTCAATTTATTTGAGGGGCCTATGAACTGAAAGCTTCAACAGCCCCATGCTAATGTTAAACTCAATATATAAAATATTGTACTTTAATTTAAAAAAAAGGCACAATTTGTTCTGTGGGTAACATTTGGAAATTTAGTACTCTCCAATATCAGATAAGTAAATTAAACATCAACTACGTACAACCAATAAATTTCTCTGGATATATAGAAACAATAATGGAAATGAAAAATAAAAATAATTTTGCTGTTTAATATTTTTAGTAGGCCAATTTTTTACCCATTGGAAGTCAGATTTGGATCCAGGGCTGCTTAATGCTGATTCTTAATATAAATCCATGAAAGGTGAACTTAAAAATTGTTCCAAAAAATGATAGTTAAAAAACTTTTTCTTCATAATAGACATATATGGCCTTTAATAGCCTTAAATTGTAAAAGAATAATAAAACTCAGTAAATTTTTACTTACTAGATTAGCATTTGGTATTATTTCAATTGCAGGAGAAGTGTTTGATTTTGGACGTAGACAGTTTAACATATCAGACCGTACATTTTTTATTGGAATATTTTTTAAGCTAGGAGGTTCATAACACTCAGATTTAGGACCTAGCTTTAAAGTTCTTTTATTAATCCAATCAAGAAAGCCAGTTATTTCACAATCGCAAACTAAAAGATTATCTGATATATCTCTACACAATTAAACATTCAATTAAAATATTGAAATATTAAATTATTAAGATTAAACATAAAACAATTTTTTTTATTTTTGAAAAATAAAAATTTATTTAAATTGAATATAAGATTATAAATATAGGTATGGCATATTAAACATACTAATTGTGAAACTTATCAATTTTAACTCAGGCAAAAGTATACTTAATAAGGAGTCTATTAAATTTCTTATTTTTTTTTTTTTAATTGAAACTTTGGTAGCTATGTATTATAAGACTATAAATGTTTTATACATTCAGAGTAAGTTACAATAATATGGAATAATTATTCTTATCAATAACTTATAATTCTATTATAATTTTAAAGAAAATTTTTTTTTTATTATTAATAATTATTGTCTTCTTAGACCATGTCTAAATCATCAAAAGTGTACCTAAAATCATGTTAAAAAAGGAACGTGACCTAAGATTTTGTAGAGATAAATCTTATCACTAGGGCACTGTGTACTTATGATTCAGATCTCGATTAACTTCTATATAAAAAATCTATTAGCAAAATAATTTTTTTTTCTATCATAAATTAAAAATAGGGATTTTCTTTAAGAAAATTAACTTAAAAGTTTTTTAACCCTTAAAAAAAAATTATTTAACTACATATTACTGTTGTTTTGAACATACTATTTTTTCACTGTACAAAAGTTTAAAATTATCAATAGTTTTTGAAAAAATTAATGTTTTAACAAATTTGGATCATTTTAAATTTGATTTGAAATCACTCCATATAGATTTTATATTGTGGTTTTATAAAAAGATAATATATATATTTAAAATACATATAAAATTATTGGTCCTTATATTTTAATCTTTAAACTATGAAAACCAAATACATTATTATTGTCATTTTTTACAAATTCAAAAATGATTCAAAATTGAACCTTGTTAATTGATTTTGTTGTGTAAGTAGTAAAATATAAAAGTAAAATCTTTATTGATTTTAAACTTTCAGATAAACTATAAGACTTAAGTTAATTTTTCTAATATTACATTATTTTTATAACTTAATAATATATTACTTACATTCGAGTCAGGTGAATTAAAGATGTAAATGTATTGCCTGGTATTTGCATGATAAAGTTTTTATTTAATTTTCTAAAAAAGTATAATATTAAGTCAACAGTTTTAAAAATATGTAATTTAAAAAATTTATATCTTACAGTTGTTCCAAGTACAACAATCCTTCAAACATTTCATGAGATATATTTTTTAGTTTGTTGTCAGTTAAAATTCTAAAATAAAATGGATCTCATTGTAATTTTAAATTGAAAGTAACAAAATTAAAATTAAAAATATGAATTACTCACAAAAATTTAAGATTTGGAATACCGCGAAATGCTCCAACTTGAACTATTGATATTAGATTTTTAGTAAGATCACTACAAAAAAAATTATAGACTTAAGAAAATTTATAAACATATAATAAATAAGTCTTACAGTTTTTGAAGAGATGAAACAGGAATGGCATTTGTTGGTAGAGCTGATATAACATTTTCTGACAAATCTCTATAAATTTTTTTATTTGTAGTGATAAGTTTCAATAAGTATTTAATATTTATAAATAATCTTACAGAAATGTTACAGTCATATTATTTACTAATTGATCAAATTTTAGTTCATTGATATACATAATAGGTTTATCTAATCCTCCACATTTGATTTTGTTAAATTTTTCGCCAATACGTTTCTTTGGACAGATACATTGCTCTGGACAGATATTTACATCGAGTTTTTGACTAGAAGCAAAAACTACTAGTAAAGCCCAAACCCATTGACTTGGAAACATGATTTTCTTTAAAACTATATTAAGTAATCATACTGAGAATTAAAAGAATTACATTTTTATTTATGGTAATAGCTCACAAATGCTAAAAAAGCATAAAGAGCTAAAAAGTTTGTTTCATATTCAAAAGTTTAAGTATACACACATTAGAAGAAATAGTATTTTCAAACAAAGTTTGTTTACATTTTTTTTTTGAAACTCATACCTAACCTTAAAAAAGCTATAAAGAAAGAAAAAGGTTATTGACCAAATGTTTGAAATAATGTCATTTATACCAGAAACCATTACATCTAAAATATAGCATACAATAATCTTGGATTTATTATTTATTTTTTTATAACTTAAAAAGAAAATGACAAAAAACTCAAGACCTGTTCTTACAATAACTTACATAAAATTTTAATGTACATTATAATTGATAATGATCATATCCAACAAAAAAATCACTATAAAATTCTATAATCAGGTATTTAGTAGGGGAAATGCAGTTCCCCCCTAAAGTAATAAATCTACTAATAGTTCCTGACCATAAAGCAATAATACTGTTGTGTTCTCAGCACGGGTATATATTAAATTCTACAGTCATCCCCAGAATCAATAAATCCTAAGCTTATCTAATTTCAATAATAATTGATGATAAGATAAAAATTAAAACGCAGTTATATAGTTATCAAAACTAAATTTCTGATTAAAATGTTAACGTAGATTTACATTAACCAAAAATCTTCTTTGCTAACTATTAACGTTTTGTCTAAAATTATCTTTATAATATAAAAATTCTTTGAATTGATTTTATTATAAACTATTTAAATGTTAAAAATATGTCGAATGCAAATGTTAATGTAAGCTTTGCTTGCCAACGTTGTTTTTTTCCAATTCGATTAGATAGCTCATTTAATAATATTAGTGAACATGCTATCGCTGAACTTTCTTGTAAGTCAGTAGTAATTTTTTTCAGTTAAATATATGATTAATTTTAATTAAATTCAGAATATTTGCAGTACCTATTGTAACTTGTCCAGAAGTTAATCTAGAATCTCAAGCCAAACAAGTTGACCAAATAATTCCTGGATTTCACTTAAATGAATCTTCAGGAGGAAATAATGGGTTTACATTATTGGGCGAAAGAGAAGTACCAACCTTAAGTCATCAAATGAAAGTTGCAGCTAGTCTATTTGATATTGTTTCTGGTAACTCCAAAATTAATCATCCGTTATGTGATGAATGCACAGATATAATTATGGGAATGATGGTAGAAGAATTACAACAAGCAGAAAAAGACTATATGGATTACAATAACTATTTAAAAGAGTAATTATAATATTTGTATAGAATTAAAAATATCATATTATGTGCAAAAACTTTTTTTTTTTGGTTATTTAGAGTAATTTTTTTACCAGATTAGTTCATAAATTATTTTTAACAATACTAAATAATTATTATAATATTAAACACTAAATATTTTTTTAAGACTTTCTACTGATGAACCAGAAGATATTGAAGCATTGAACAAAGAGTTAGAAGATGTATGTATATGTAAATATGTATAAATCATACTTATTGAAATATTTGTAAAAGTTAACAATTTTTTTTAACAGCTTATAAAAGAAGAAAAAAAATTAATAAATGAATTTGTCAATTTACAAGAGACAGAAAATGCATTAGATTATGATATAAAAGAAGCTGAAAATGAAAAAGAAAGACTGATTAAAGAAGAAGAAAGATATTGGAAGGAATATAGTAAATATCGCAGGGATTGTATTTTAATTGAAGATAAACAAAAGAGGTATAATATCAACTAAATTAACTATTCATTAATTTTATTAAAATTATTTAATTTAACATAATAAATTTTAGTGTTGAATGTCAAATTAGTTACACTACATCACAATTAGCTAAACTTAGAAAAACAAATGTATTTAATGCTACATTTCACATATGGCACCATGGTCATTTTGGAACAATAAATAAGTTACGACTTGGAAGGTTACCATCAGCTCCAGTGGACTGGGCTGAAATTAATGCTGCTTGGGGTCAGGTCACATTATTGCTAGTTTCATTGGCAAGGTACATGAACTTGAAATTTGACAAATATCGTCTTGTTCCATATGGAAATCACTCTTATGTTGAGGTGCTTATATATTCTTTAGAAATTCATAATAACATAAACTTCAATCTACATTTAGTGTAAGAATTTTAGTTTTTATTTTTGCAATACGTTTAATGTTATTGTTAGTTTTAAACAAATATAGTTGTCTTTTGTTTAAGTTAAGATTTTTAACTGTTAATTTAAAATTATTAAATATTTATAAATCAAAATTCTATACAAACAATTTTTTCTTTTAATTTGATTTATAAGAATTATGACAGTGATTGATTTAATGGAAGTCAAGATTTTGTTTTAACCAATTTTTTATATAAATTAAATGAGGTTTAATTATATTGATTTGAATTTCATTTACATGTATATCAAATTATAACTATTTGACTTGATAAATATATATACTTTAGGTTTTAGGTGAAAAAAAGACACTACCATTATATGGCCAAGGTGGAATACGTTTTGTATGGAACACAAAATTTGATTTAGCTATGGTAGCATTTTTAGATTGTCTTCAACAATTTAAAGAAGAAGTAGAAAAAGGTAATTCAGGATTTCATTTGCCTTACCGAATGGAAAAAGGAAAAATTGAAGATTCTGCAACTGGCAATACCTATAATATTCGGTATTTAATTTTATTTTAGTGTTTTATTCTTTAAAAATGTAAAATTTTATCAATTTTATTTCAGAATACAATTGAATTCTGAAGAAGGATGGACTAAAGCATTGAAATTTATGCTAACCAATTTAAAATGGGGTTTAGCTTGGGTTTCTGCCAAAATTAACAACGAAATGTAAAATAAATATTACTTTAGAAAAAAAAATTACATATGTACATATTTATCTGCTCAATTATTTTTCTTTAATTATATGTTATTTTTTTAATTCATGTGTTGAGGACAATTTTATTTGCTAGAAACCACATTAATCCAAAGAGAAAACTAGTTGAGCTATTTAACACTTCAGATTGTGTAACAAAGTCCTTAATTTGTGGTATTGTATATTCTACGACTTCTATATCTTCTCCTTCACTTGCCAGACCACCACCTTCAGATACTTTCATATGATCAGTGACTTCAGTGTAGAAAAATGTTTGATTAGTTCCAGTTATAGATAACCCAGACCTAGATAAATATATATATACACTATTAAGTGGGTTCGTGTAAGTGCAATCACTAAATTAATTAAAAAATAAAAATAATATTGAAAATTTTTTATTGATGGTTTCTTTTTATTTATCAATCAAAGTATTTTTTATGTTCATCCCTTATACCTCATAATAGTGTCAACTTTATTTTTCCAAATGTTAACATACAAAATTACCTAGCTGATTTAATAGATAATGATCTAATTAAGTAAATGACTGGTCAATAACAAATTTTGGACCACTATTTCATAAGTTATTAACATTTTATAGTAAAGGTTGGAGGTAAGACAGATGTTATTTTTATAACTAATTTTCTTTGCTATATTGTTCTTACTGCCTAGAAGTAAAAATGTCAATAGAATTCAAAATACTGATCCAAAAGTTATCATCAGTCATTTTCTAAATTAAATTATTAAATAAACTAGTAAATTATGTATATTGCAATTTGAAAAGATAAAGTTGATACTTATAAGGGTATCAAGAATCACTTTGTGTATATACAGAGTCAGCTAACTGACAACTCTTATAGCTTTTAATAGTAATTTTTTTTTAAATTTTTATATATTATATTATATATATTTTTTATATTAAATCATTCTTAGATTAAAATTATATTTTATTATTTATTTTTGATACAACAAAAAATTTCAAAATAGCCAGTTTTATCACCCTATTACAAAAATGATAAATGGAGTTGATATGAAACAAGAACATAAAATATATGCAAATTAAAGATACTAATGATTTTTTCAAGTAAAAATAAACAGAAATCAAGAAATTTGATATATTCATTCATTAAAAACAATTATTTAACTTGAATAACAATAATTGTTATTCAAGTTAAAGTATAATGACATATTATAATAAAATTATTTTATTATAATATGTCATTATACTACATTCTATAATAATCAAGTTTTTAAGACCTAACTGACAAAGTTAATCACTCCTGATACAATTACTATTATGCTGATTTTTTTTTTTTTTTTGATAATTATTGTCTTCTCTGTGCTTTGTTTAAAGCATATCTTTTATTGTTTTTTTTAAATTTTAAAATATCAATTTTTTAGTTCTTTATTTACAGGTCAATAATAATTTTAGGGTAATTACTCATTGAGTTACAATGATTTTGATACAAGAGGGTATGTAGATGAGTGTAGCTAGTACTAGTTTACATATATTGTTTATGTTCCATAGCCATTCTTTGTATTAAAATGAATAAATCATAATATACTATTTATAACACTAAAATTAATCAATGTACTTTAATTTAATTTCATTAGCTCATGTATAAGAAATAGACATTATTTTATTAAATTTCTAAAAACGAAACCATTGCATATTAAATTATACTGCATGTGTTATGTAGATTACATTAGTGAAATTATAGCACATTGCACATAATACTGTATTACTCATAACATTCTTCTGTAAAAAAAAATGTATCTAATTTTTTATTTTATTATTAATTTATCTTACATTATTACTTAATTTATAAACAGAATGGGAAAATAGTTGTCATACATCATAATTATATTCAATTTAATCATCTATGTAATCTTACATATTTTAATGGACTAATTTTAAGTTATACTTAGCTTACCTTCATTAAATTATCTATAACTGTTTAAAGCAAATGCTCATAATATACAAGGTGATTTTGAGTTAGCTCAATGAAACCAAAGTTTCGAAGTTAAGAGTGTTAAACAGTGATGCCCTCAAGGTCCCTCCTTTTATCTCCCCTACAATGATGTTTAGTTTTAGAATCACTAATTAAAAATTTAAACAAATATTGTTATACACAAGCCTAGGCCAATTAGCAGAATTCTGGGAAAAACCTGGGGTCTTAAATCAAAATTTATATAATGGATATACATTTTAATAATAAAACCTATGATTTTGTATGGTGCCTTGGTTTGATAGACCAGAACAACATTTATTATAGCTAGTAAAGAACATAAATGCATTCAAAGAATGGCAACTATAGCCATTACTAGTGCTATAAGAACCACACCACGTGCTTCCATACTGCACAATTGGACTACCTTTTTATCCCCTATAGGTTAAATCATGCTAAAACTACAGAACTAAGACTCCACAAGTATGGGCGACTACGAATAGCGACACTGTAGAAAATGGTAAAATACTAAAAGAAATAGACCAAATTATACTGGGATATCATTCAGATTTTATTAAACTTGTTCTCCAAAATAACATAACCTACAAATTTAAGATTCTATCATTTAGAGAACGGAATAAATACCACCTGACTAGGAAAGGAGGGTTTGTAATTTATACAGACGACTTCAAGAAATCATGAAAAGTAGTTGCTGGCATTTGGGGATTAGAACCTCGCATAATTATCAGCATGTCAATGAGCACAATACCTTCTGTGTTTTAAGCAGAGGTAATGGCAAAACTAGTCAGGGCCCACAACCTGCTAGTATTTAAGAAAAGAAACATAACTATCCTAAATGATAGGAAAGCGAGGAAAGGTGCAGAAAAGACCTATGTTGGACCAAAACCATTGGTAGGACTTAAGGAGCAATCCCTCAAAGTACTACCCAAAAACTGTCATAAAGAACAACACAGGAAAATATGAAGTTACCTTAACAATCAAAAATGTTCATCTAAACTACCGGTTTACTAATAAGGGATCTTAATTACATGACCACTGTGCAGAGAGTGTAGAACAGAAGAGGAAGATTCATTTCACAATATGTATGAATGTGAAACAATGGCCCCATTAAGAATGAACATATTGATGAATATTTTATAACAGATAAATTGAGATAAATTATGTCAAGTGGAAGTTTAGGATTAGGGTGGCCAATCCCAAGTAGTTGGAATACAGGCGATAAAAAAAGAAGAAGAACAGATATATCGAGATACATATGTAACTAACAAAAGCCAAAAGAAATTCACAAGAAAAATTATTATTTTAAGAAAAATTGAATGGCTAGCATTAAAAAAATCACCTTATATATCATGACATGTTGTGGGGATATATCTGTCAAAAAAATTAAGAAGAAAGTTATGATATTCACACGTTAGAAATTGGTAATATTTAGGGATATAAAATGATAGAATAAGATAATAATGCTTGTAATACTTTGGGTATATTATGTAATTATTAAAAGTATTATTTTCATTGTAATCAGTTAGATTATGCTAATAATTTAACAGTCAACATACTCTAAAAATATGCTGGAAATCACTTAAATATAATTAAGTATATATATCGTATAATTGTGTTATATAAATTATTCAAAAATTGTAATAACACAATATGAAAATAAAAACATTAATAAAATGTGGACGACTAAAAGGTTAAAAAGGGGGGATACAGAAACTATAAATAGGGTAATAAATTTTTATCACACAAAATATTCGTCTAGATGTCCATGAAAATATACTACACCAGTATTAGGCGACACTCGTTCTCGCTTACTATAAATTAAAGGTTCTGTCTTAAGTGTTTACTAGTCATATAAAAGTAAATTCTATTTGTTCTTATTTTACATCCCCAGAGTTTTTTATAAAGGTAAAAACACCTTTATTCAAATCACTACTGAAGTATCTACAAGTTATTTTTACGTGTACAACACAAGGTAAGACAAAAAGTTATCAGACTATTGTTAAATTAGCAAATTTACCTAAAAAGTTGAGTTTTAAAAAATAAAGTATTGTAATTTGAAAAAATAAAATAAATAGAAAATAAATTAATTTTTCCAAATGAACATTTGAATTAGTCCAAGGGATATACACACACTTATACACAAAAAGACCTAGGAACAAGGCATAAGAGAAATCTCATGTTACTCAAAGTAAAAATCTTTGAAAACATGTGTAGAAAAGCTATTGAAGGTACATTGTAACACAATACAGGATATAAACATTTTGACTAATTATAAACCAAATTATGGGGAACAATTAAATTTTTATACTATAGTGCTTTATTGTTTGAACCCTCAAACCTCATTCCTTTATAGGAATAACAACATCAAATATCTCCTTGTTTATAGTAACTTTTAAAGAAAGAGAAATATATTAAAAATACTTGTTCTACATAAAATTAGTACAGACATTTGAACTATTTGTGAGCATCCTTTTCAGTTACTCTCTTTAAAGATATTTCTTTTTAAATTACTATAAACATTACTACTTATTAATTTTATTGAAGAAACTGAATTAATATAATTCGGCAGAGGATGTGCACAAGGGACCTAAAGGTCTGATAGGTGGTTCTTGCCCACTTCTAAAACTACTAATTTTATTAATAATATTATTTGCTTTATACTTATCCTAAAAATGATACCGACCCATTAAGATTTTTTGTAACAAAAGAACTAAAGATGATTGTTTTAAAATTACAAAAAATAAAAAATAAAAGATATGATTTAAAACATAGTCTAAGAAGATAATATATATATATATTTTTTTTATATCAACATAATAATAATTGTATTAAAAGTTATTAGAATTGCCAGTTAGATCTGAAATACCCTGTATAAATACATATAAACAATAGTAATTAGCAAGATGGAAACTTCTTACTTGCAACTAATAATTTTTTGTAAATCTGATGTTTTGACCGCATAACCACATTCTTCTTTCACTTCATCAACGGCTATTTCTTCTAAAGATTTGTTTTTATCAACAATACCAGCACAAAATTCCACCGTCAAGCCACTTGATGGTGGGTATTTGACCGTATCAATTGGCCCTTCTTTAGGTCTGTCAAACTCTGGAATACTTTTATAATATACAGCTAAAAAAATATTTTTTAAATTAAGTAATTTTTTTTTTATGTAGGAGAATATTGCAATATTACCTGGTCTAAACTGCTTAACACATACTAATGTATTTCTGGTTCTGTTATAAATTATAACAAAAACTCTAAAAATATAATAATTATACAAAATTCATTAAAAATATTTTAAATAGTAATGTACAGTGGATCAAATAAATATTAGGACATTGTCTGGAAAAAATAATTTGCCTTTTGAATTGCCATCAAGTATGGTCAACATCATTAGAAAAATGTTTGTAAATATTAAAAATATTTACTTGACTCACTATAAATTTTTTTTTTTATTATTGCTTTTATTAGTCCATTAAGGGCTATAGTGACCTCCCCTAGGAGGAGGTATTCTTAACCATTTATACTCCAGGGTGGTTAGTACGTCGCCGGAGAGTGGGTTGGCAACTCCATTTTCCGAACTGATCTCTCGTTCGGCAAATGAAGCCGCCCGTGACCAATTTCGAACTTGAGGTAGTGCACGTCAAACACTGTCGCATTATCGACTCGACCACACTGTCCCACTTGACTCACTGTACATATTAAGTAAAAGTGAATAGTTTAGATATAACATTTTGTGATTCGTATCCAAATATTAATAAGTTACTAAAATTGGTATTAATTATAATTTGTAAAGGATATTTTCTATTGTTTACCAAAAAATTACAAATAATTTTTTTTGAGGTTTTTTGCACTTTTAAAGTTTTTATTTGAATTAGATGATAATAAACATTTCTGCTTTCCAAAAAGATTGACATATAACTTATGGAAAATATCCACAGATATAATATTTTATAAATAAACAATTTCATTTGAAATTTGTTTTAAGAAATTAACACATAATAGTAATTTAACTTACGCATCATGGCTTTCCATCAAATCCCATTTAATTTCTTTTTCACCCTATATATTAAAAAAAAAATGAATTAATACATGCATATATATATATTAGTATCCTTGTTTTAGTAATTATAAAAAAGCCTTGATACCAGAATTTTTTAATTTTTCTTTGAGATAAAAAAATATTATTCTCAAAATTTCACGTCTCTAACTTAATTTTAACCCATACATGTAGGCACTTAACATTTTCATTTGAAATACATAGGGATTTTAATTTTTTTTTTTTTCAAAATTGACCTGAAAATTGGGAAAAAATGACAAAATGTAACTTGTGTTAATTGACAGAATTTTATAAACTTTATGTAAAGTAGTCAACATTTTACTCAAATGTTTGTTTTTTGAAAATATTTTCACATTATTATGCACATCCATATGAACAATGAAAAAATAAAACCAAATGTAAACAACATTTACTCCAAATTTTCAAAAATAATCAAATTTGTATAAGATTTAGTATTGACAATAGCTTTATAATGCTACACCCTTCACTCTGAAAAGAGGATAATAATTTCAATAAAAGTTTTAATAGTCATATAAAATTAAGTGTGGTAAATGACTTATTAGAATTTAGTTAATCTTGTATTGTACCTTTTATCAAAAGTATTGTAACACAATGATCAAAAATTTCATAAACCCCTTTGTATGTATTAACTTATTAACACTTTCAGTGTTTATTATACAAGGAACATATAAATATGTAATTATACAAGTGTCTCAAACCTAACATAATTTATAAATGCAAAAAATTATTTAATAAAAAAAATTTAAATGATTATTGAATCAAATGTTATAAGAATTTTAATTTTACTTCACAGTATATATAAATAAATAATAGTTGAAGTGTATTTACCTGCTTAAACAATAATGAAAACGGTTTAATAAAAATAGACTCAGTAGTCTTCACAGCTATCATCTGACTAATTGGCTTCATTTTTGTTCAAATTGTGTATGTAATGTAAAAATCTAGATAAAAATGGTTTCTTTAATGTTATAATACAAAACTTTGTTACCCTAATTCTATAAGCCTAATCAATAAACATATTTAATCACTATCCTTTATTCTTCAGAAATTAATATATTTAATTTTATTGAGATGAAAAACAATTTATAAGTTAACAATTCAATTTATTTAATTATTGTTTCATTATCTTAGAACATATTACAAAATAGTGTTTCATCAAAATATAACCAAATATATTGAAATATTATATAGATATATATATATATATATTATATGAATTTTAACTATCTTGCATATTAATAAAACATAAATACTGACATTTATTGAGAGGAAAAATCATTTGATCATTTTTTACATGACAACCACAATATACTAACTACATACTATGTAGTACTTTAAAATATTGTCTTAAAGTATATAATCCGTGTGTAATTGTATAAAACATACTTAAAAGTATTTAATTATTTCAATGAGCAATATCACTTGGTAGTAAATTTCTGCTTTAATTAATCAACTTTTTCAAATTCTACTATAAATAAAAAACAAAATTCATAAATTAACGTTTATAAATTCAATTCAGTTATAAAAAATTAATGGTTCAAGTATAATGATAAAATAAAAATAAATTAACAATTTGCTAATGTTTTATCATATTAAATCATTTATTAACACAGATTACTGAATACACGGAATGTAATTTAAATTTTCTTATCTATAACTTATCAACATTACAGTACCTTGATCACTATTTGCTGGACACATACAATGCTTATAGTACGAACTAAGATAAAATAAACTGGATACAAAACCGTAACAGATGATCCAGTTTTGTTATTCATTTACCCATAGATTAAATACACATAGATAGGCCACGGCATTCAGACAATTGGCAACCGATTTTTTGTTAATTTATACCCGTAGAGATAGCGCTATATATCCTCTCGGAAATATTAAATATTAATAATAACTGTCCAGTTTGCTGATATTCAAATAATAGTCACGATTATTGATGTACGGCTAACATCGTTAGCGCAAATTAAGATAAGAACCAGTTAATACTAAAAGGCGATTGCTTATTTGATTTAAATGAAACTTTTCGTTTTAAATACAAATTCGATAAAACATGTGTTTTTTATTTTATTAATATTGATTTAAATTTGACTATTATTTATGTTTTTTAATTTTCTCTTAGTGTTGAAAATCTTAACTTATTGCATAACAATTTCTCGCTACCGATTTGTCCACTGTCAAGATTTTTATATTATTTGGTGTTTAATTTCTTAACTTACCAGTAATCAAGTCTAATAAAGATATTTATTAATAATTACACATATTATAAGGTTTTCATGTATAAAATTAGTAATTTATTTTTTCAAATATACAATGAAATATTAAAAAAAAACAAATTTTAATAATATATAATTTAAAATATAAAATATAGTTTAAAATATAAAAATTTTAAAAACTAATATTTTAGAAAAAAATATTCAAACAAATAAAGCAATTTTAACCGAAGTTCAGATCACTAAAAATGATAAAATAAGAAGTTAAGATATGTTTTTACCGCAATTAAAAAAAATACACTTATTTTCATGTTGTGTACTCATTGTTATAATTATAATTATACAGATAATAATACAAATAAATATATTAAATGGTAAAACCACACAAAAGGGACCTTAGTCTTCAGTACTCAAGTGAAAATATGAATAGTGATTATGATATATGGAAGATTTTTTATCTAGTTGGATATTTTTACATTGATAGGTTTTAAAAACAACACAAAAATACAAAATAGGCATGATAATTCGTGTTACAATAAGATGTAAACATAGCTAATACATCCTGTTTTTAATGCAATTCCAAATATAATCCTGGCGCCGAGATATCGTATTATTAAATCGTACTCTTTTACGTGGTCTATAGTACAATTGTTTTACGATCTCTCAAAAAGTGTTAAATTTTATTTTTAATCGTGTTAAATTTGTAGGGTCACATGAATTCATGAAATTAGGCTTGTCAGAATCTATCATTAAAGTAAAAAGGACCCATACTAATTATACAACTGGAATTATATCTCTAGCTATATATATGATCTTATAGTGATTAAGAAAATGTTTTTATTGGAAGTTGTATAACATAAATCAAAGATAATTATGCAATCATACCGATTTTAAACACATCAGAAAAAGATGTTTCGATTTCTATAAATAATATTAAATTTGATTTTTTACCACAAGATTTCGTGCTCATAAATAATATGTAAATACTATCAATTGTAATAATGTTAATGCTAATAATAATAATAATAGATTAACTCTTTTAAATCAAAACCTTAAATTAAATCATTTAAACGGCAAAGAAAAGTCGTCTATTAATAATCTATACAATCAATTTAATGATATATTAATTTTATCCGATGATAAATTATCTTATACTAATCAAATTGTACATAAAATAATTACTCCTAATGCTCATCCAATTAATATAAAACAATTAATACCTTATGTGTCATAACGAGGAAGTTGATAAACAATTAAAAAATCTTTTAAAGCAAGGTAGCATTGAAAAGTCAAATAGTCCATGGAACTCGTCTAGAATTCTAAATTTTATAAAGGAATATATATATATTATGTTTTGTCTGTTAATAAATATTTTTTTGATTTGTTTTATACTCTTTTTTTAGTTTCATAAAAATTATAAATTAATTGTTCAAAAAAAGAGTTATATAAAAGATTAAATAATCTGAATTATTTTTACCATGTCAGAAATATTTATTAACGATATTTTTTAAAAAGGCACTAGTATAGAATTTACTCAATACCTACAAAAAAGAATGAACCAATAAGTTAATACTTATTTGAGTCATTATGATATCTTAACTATATGCTATGTTAAGTGGAAAAAATGATACATAATAAATGTATTCGTAAAAAATTATAAAGTTATGTTTATGAATAAAATGAAATTACACCTTTCAGAAAAGCTAGATACAAAAATAGTGCTTATTATTTAAAAAAAAAATGTATAAACATGCAAAATCATGTTTGAGTATCGTATTACTGGCTTGTTAAATTAATTAGATTAGAAACATAATTTTAAGTAAAAATTAAATTAAAAGCAAAGTATCAGATATCTTATTTTAACAAATTTTAAAATTTTATATTTTTCATAATTTCTGAATGTTTAGAATTTATAATACATGATTTCAAAATAGGTTATTTTATGTATTTATGTTATTATTTATATATTAATATATTTTATTATTGTGGACTATTAGATGTGATTATTATATATCTTGACATAGTAATACAAATACAAAATAAGTATAATATAAAAGCTTTGTGATATTGGGGCACAGCTCACATGATGATTTTTATCTTAAAGATTTTTCAACTCATCCTAATTACAAAGTAATTTATCAGCCACTGCTTTCTGTTTAAAATAATTTATAAAAATATTTAGAGACCAACAGTTTAGTCTTGTACTGTAATACCACATTTTATATCAAAGTCCTGTTAAGGATTCTTAGTATAGTATTAAAATAAAAAATTAAATAAAATTTCAATGAAAAATAATTACAAAGAGTTAAAATCATAAATAACCTTACATTATGTCATAAAATGCAATTAACGTGCATAACAATAACAGTTTAATTATGTGCATCATACATTCATGTAATAATTATTAAAGATATAAAATACCACGTATATTTCAACCAATAGAAGCACTCAAAATTTACGCTATCTATCAGCATAATCGCCTGCGTCCAGTGCATCGTTTCCCTGCGTCCATTCGTGATAAAAATTGGACTGCCAAAATTGTGTACGGCGTGGTCTATCTATGTGTATTTAATCTATGATTTACCATAGAAAGGGGAATTTCGAAGTAACGGCGCCATCTATTATTAACACGCTTATATTAGTTTCACATGTATGTTTGTTGTGAGTTGTTTGTAACTTTACACGCGCACGTGTCTACGGCCTTGAGACTAGACGGTCGTAACGCATTCACCCCACCCGTTTTCATACCCGTAAATAAGTGTGTGACATCAATTATATATATACAAACAAATTTTTATTTTGACTGACCAATACCGCCCGCGTGTAATGCGCCTTACGTATATATATTTATATATTCCTACCGCCGTTTATACCTTAGGTATAACGTCCCCCCCGCCCACAAAACAAGGCTATACCTAGTGCATGATACGTTTACATACTTATGACGCCTTACTATATATATGTATGTATGTATGTGTATATATATATATATATTCCTACAGCTGCCGCATATGCCTCGCGTACGTTTCCCAGCGCTCCGCCCGCCAACTAAACACAGCTATACCTCGTGCATGATACGTTTACGTACTTAAGTCGCTTTACATGTATACAGAGTGATTCATTAAGGATAAGACACTCGTTTACTCAGTAACTATTGAAAATTTTAAATTTTTGGTAAGAAAAATATTGTTTGATTCAAAAAACACTACAATAATATGTTGTAAAAACATGATATTTTTCATCCCTTCAAGGTTAAAAAACATTAACTTGAGTTTTTTTAAATGAGAACACATAAAAATTATTTTGGAAGAACTTCATATACACTGATAGACCATACAAATATAATAAAATTCAGGACTGTACTGACCTAGAAATATACAATCGAATGATAACAGATAAAAAATTTTTTCTATTAATTAAAATTAGACCATTTTATAAAAGAATAGAAGGGGCTGAATAAACTTCGCTATTTAATGAGCAAAAACTAAAAATGAACGAGATCATTTTAATTGAAAAATCGCTTTCTTTAAAACTTTAATTTATTTCTACAATGAAAACTAGGATCCGTGTTATTAGAATTTTTTTGACATTTATATTTCAGAGGACACACTATTTTAGCAATGTCTTTTAACTAGGGGTCCAATTCATTTAATCTTAGTTCGTGATAGAAAATCACAGTATTTACACTGCAACGGAAGCTTTACTAGAAAAGTGAAAACGCTAGTGGTAATTGACCCGGTTTTTCTATGTAAAGTAATAGAAGAGACATAGTTTTTTTAATGTTTCCTAAAAACGGGTAACTCGACAAAAATATGTATAGAACAACATTTGTTTAAAATATAATTTTATATATTATAGAGATGTTAACTACTATAAACTATTAATTTATAGCAGTAAAAATACAAAAAAATGAAATACCAAACCTTTGATCAATTTAAATTTTAAACATCTAATGATATACTTCAATAAAATTAATTTTAATTTTAAGATAATAAATGATTTTTCTTTATATACAATCTAGTTTAAAAAATTGTTTTTCTTTTTTCATGAGTAATATTTCACAAATACTTGAGTATTTAATATTATTACTAGATCATTTCAGTATTTAAATTTAATTAATTCTTATAATAAAAAACGTTAGCATAGTGGTGTCGTGCACACAGTGTGAACGGGGCATAGTTGGGACATATATATGATATTCGGTATTTCCGAAACATGTTCAAAACTTATTTTTTTGTGCAAAAGTTGCCATTATAAATTCTCCCATTTGTGGATACATTACAATCAGATTTTTCTATCACCTTATTTTTGAGATTATCTTATTATGTAATAGTACAAGGAAAAACGCTTTTCTGGGAAAATTACTTAGCGTGCGCAGATATTCAAAAAATTTTTTAACAAGTACTTGGTCACGAGACACCGGGAAAATTATTAGCGAAGATTGAAAAGTTTTTACCGCGAACGATAAAAAAAGATCTAATTGTAGATTTGAAAACGTCGCAAAAATGTAATACGTCAAATGAACCGACTTTAATCTAGTTGAACTAATAGTCATAAAATATTGGAAAAAATCCCTTAAATTTAGAAATTTAGACAAATATAAATATAATAAATAGAAAATTTTACAAAGATTAATCATCATCATCTATGATAATATGATAAGGTAATACCTTGACGTTGAAACCACTCTTCTCATAATAGATGCTATAATTGAAATATTAAAACTATATTCCGTATAGTTATATCCTATAGTTTTTAACTAATTAGTGATAATAACAAAAAATAGTTGTTATATAAAATATCTAATTGCAGATTTGAAATTAGCAAGAAAAATTGATCAATAAAAGTATGTTTTTAATTCTGATGAAAATTCTTTGTAGAAACATTAATTTATAATTTCACAACAAATTATTTTCTGAAACGTTTTGTAACAAGCCCTTCAGTTTTTATACACGTTTGCCATAAAAGTAATTCCTATTTAATAATTTTTTATATGTTGCCCGAAAAAATTACAATACTAAATTATGAAATTAAGTATTCTACCTCCGCCAATTATTAAATATCATTTTCATATTATATTATCCGGAATAATGAAGGAAATAGGAATTTAATTTTGCTTTAGGTATAATTCACCAATTTTTTAAAATTAAACACTATCTACAGATATATGCATCAAAGCGTTTTTTATGATAATGATTTTAATCACTATCAGATATTATTTACTTATTTAGTAAGCATTTTAAAAACTAAATATCTACCCAAATAATAATATTTAAATTGAATTACGCAGAAAAATCATATCAGTAAAATGAAACATTTTTTAATCATATACCAAAATATACTTTACTAAACCAAATTTTTCCGCTTATTTCGAATCTGTAATTAGATTTTTTCTATCACTTCTTTTTGGAGATTATTACTAATTAGTAAAAACGACTATTGACATATAAAAATTGATTTTTAATATACTAAAAATAATTTATGTAAAATTTCAATTGAAATTTTGTTTGGTCTTTCAAAGTTGATTTTGATTGAAGATTATAACTTAAAAATGTTAAACTTTTAACGTTTTTTTTAGTTCAACTTGCACGTTTAAGTTTGATATAATTAAATAGAAAATTTAAAAAATCGTATTCTTTAAATTGATGTGATACCTGATTTTTGGGGTACAACCGACCTTGAACCGAATTTTTAATTTTTCAATCAAAGTCAAATCGAACCAAACATTATTAACAATACAACAAAAATAGTTTCAATAAATTTCTCTTCAATCATACTTTTTTCCAAAAATGAAATTGAAATATATGGATAAAATATTTATTTGATCAAATGTTTTATGTAACAAAAGTATTTGGATTAAGATAACTTTAGCACAAATATCCATTGGAACAACTTTACTTTGGAGAAACGATTAATGGATGAATTGTTAAATGTAACAAATCTTAATCGAAACATAAAATGATTCGAGTAATAATTAGTGATGGGAAATATCGAATAGTAACTATTCGAACTATTCGATAGTCATTCAAAAACTATTCGAATAGTAAAAATATTCGATAGTCTATTCGAATAGTTTTAAAAACTATTCGGTAGCTCCATTCGAATAGTTTAGAAAATATTTGATAGTCTATTTGAATAGTTTTTAAAATATTTAATAGTTTATGCTAAAAATAAAATATTCGGTGGTATAAACATAATTCGAATAGTTAATCGATAGTTTAAAATATTTAAAAATGCCCATCACTAATTTTTTTATTATTAATTGTATCCTATATATAATCGTAGTACCCTGAATAAACAGTTTTAAACAATCCTATTTAGATTGTTAGTGTTATTAAAACAGCAAATCTATAAATCTGACTATAATTTTACATAAGACCAATATTTTAGAAAATTTAACTTTACATATTTTTTTTTACGAAACATTTTGTTGTAAAATGATTATTTCGAAAATTAAGAATGATTTATATTCAAAAAATGAATTTTAACAAATTATTTTTTTATTTTATTTTTTTGAACAAATACTATTTTAGAAGAAAATATTAAAATCTATATTTTATATTCTATATATTCTATATATTCAAAAACTGAAAAATTACCTTTTGAGCGAATTTGCAAACATACTTTTTTTTTATAAAAATGTTAATTATTCCAAAAATATATTATTTGAATGGATTACAACCTTAATTAACTAATATATTTTTGGGATAAATTACATTTATATAATAAAATAAATTTTTATTTTTTATCACTATACTAAAAATAGTATTATTAATTACAACCATGAATTATTTTTTCCTTTTAACCACGATTATATTCAAGTCTTATCTATAACCGTGCTACAACAATCAATTATTGTTTCATTAAAAAGAGTCCAAGCATGGTAGTATTCATTTTACGTACTCTCATTCTTACCCGTTAAGGGTAATGGTAAATGATAAAAATATACGTTGTTATCAAACAATACATATAATAATTAAATAATCAATAAAATTTTTTGAGTTCATAAATATCAGTACTACTTTAAAATTTGTATTTATTTATGAAATAGTTTATTAATAAATCGTAAATTTTAAAAATTAATCAAATACTTTAATCGTATTTTATTAACAAATATACAACTTCGATATAAACATAATGAGTGAACACTCGAAAAAAATTTCTATTGCATTAAATTCTGAGACTAAAGTGAGTTTTATTTTAGTTATTAATAAATAGTTCTAATTTTCATTAATTTTGTCATCATTATCACATGAGAGATTATTTTAGTAACATTTGAAAAAATAATTTCAGTTTTATAAAAAATGTGGCATTGCCCTATTAAAAAAATTTAAATTATTTAATTATTTAATTATATTTATTCCAGCGGGTTTCTAGCACAGATTTTGAAATATCTATACAATGTGATCCTGGAGAGTCAAATAGTGTAATTGTAAGCATACAATTTCTATTTATTTTTCAAATAAACAAAAACATTTTAAATATATTTTTTATGTGATCTATTTAGGTGACTTGTGGACGTTGCAATGCTAGTATGACTCATGCAGAATATTTTTATAATCATCGCCATGTTCATTATAATTTATGTTGGCTAGAAGGAGAAGATCAATTAGTATACATTTAAAATAAATTTTGTTTTTAGTTATTAAATATAAATAATTTTTGTAGGATTATTCAGATGAAAATAAAGTGGCTATGTTATTACGGTCAATTTTACCTAAATTTGCTGAACGTGATAAAAAAGTATTATTTACATGTGAATGGTGTGGCAATTATAAAAAAAGTGTTCAAGGATTTGCTTCTCATATTAAAATTTGCTCAGAAAGCTCTAAAGTAATTTTTGACACAAATCTACTTTCCCGTGCACCCTTATTTTTAAATTAGTGAAGTATTTTATGCTGATTACGTTTTTTTAGTTTTAGTTTTAATTGTTACAGAGGTGGGCAAGAACTGTCCATGCACTCAGACCTATAGGTCGATTATATATACCTCTTATTGAATTATATTAATCCGGCTTCTTCACATTGAAATGTTAATATTGTTGAATACTTAAGACTATATATAAAGCATCCCACTAGGTCTCAGCTTTATATATTCAAAGAGTCTTGTCTCTAGTGAAATTAAGTATTACATTTGGTTTTAGTTTTTTGATATCTTCTTTTTCAGAAAAAGATTTTCCCAAATGTTTAGATATTAATGTGACCAGGATGTCACATTCACACATGATGTGAAATAAATCTTCATTTTCTGTTCTACAATTCCTGCATAGTGCTGCAATCATGTAATTAAGATCCTTCAATAGTTAACCATAGTAGTAGTGGTTCTTATAGCGCTGGTAATGGCTATAGTTGCTATTCTTTGAATGCATTTATGTTCTTTATTAGCTATAATAAGTGTTGTTCTGGTCCATCCGACCAAGGCACCATACAAAATCATAGGTTTTATCACTGAAATGTATATCCAATATATAACTTTTGGTTTAAGATCCCAGGTATTTCCCAGAATTCTGCTGTATGTCCACAATGTAGCCATGGCTTTTTAACACTTGCCTCAATGTATGATTTCCATCATAGCTTACTATCTAGGATAATACATAAGTATTTTACTTATGACTTAAAGCCTATTTTTTGTCCATTCATACTAAGCGTGCAAAGACTGTCAAGTCCTGTTCTTTTCCTAGTAATAATTATTACCTCTGCTTTGTTTGGATTAACAGCTAGGATATAATTACTGCAACATGTGTGTATAGTGTTCAGTCCCTTTTGTGCTAAGCCTATGTCTGGGAATTTACCTACCACTACTATAGCTAAATCATCGGCCTAGGCTTGTGTATAACAATATTTGTTTAAATTTTTAATTAGTGATTCTAATAATTATTACCTCTGCTTTGTTTGGATTAACAGCTAGGCTATAATTACTGCAACACATGTGTATGTACTGATCACAATTGCTTCGTCAATGAGCCTAGTGTCTTCAAACCTTGGTACATTAGTTCTATCAGTACTCAATAGCATTAAGTCTCCAACCCAAGACTCGTTGAGTTGCCATTGTTCAGTAGTCAACGTATTAGTGGGATAGTCCACTAAGACCAGTGCCATTTTTTTATGGTTGGTTAACACATCTTTGTAAGTTAGTACCCAACAGGTATTCTTCATCAGAGAATCGAGTTCCTTAGTTTTCAGTGCAGGATTTTTGGTAACCTCCGACGTTTCCCAAGTTATTGGTTCCCTTATTGTTATCCTTCAGTTGGTCTTTCTGTGTTTTCGTGGTTCCAACTTTTCAACTTGTGCCTCTGACTTATGCTAAGTTTCTTTGGCCTTAGTTTAAGACCTTCAATCCTTTCAGTCATGACCGGCTATGAGCAGAGATGTATGTTCCCTTATTAAAAGCAGTGGGTTTTTGATGATTATGAAAGAGATAGAAAGTGTTTTTTAATCTCAGTAGAAAATTAAACAGAAAATAGAGTAAAGTAGGATAATTGTAAATTAATTTTTTAGGCATGTCGTATCCATAAACCCATGTTTCGTCACCTGTTATAACACGTTTTAGTAATTCTGCATCGTCGTTAACTTTATTAATTGACTCCTAAGCAACTTCCATTCGCCCTTGTTTTTGTACAAAACTCAACAATTTTGGAATAAATTTTGCTGCTACGAGTTTTATACCCAAAACATTTGTTAAAAATTCATGGAAATCAATATTACAACATCATCAGTAACTTCTCTGATTATGATTCGGCGATCGTTCATAACCATTTCTTTCACTTTTTCTTGTTTTCATCAGTTATTGATGTGCTGAGGCGTTAAACGTCTTCACGGCCATCTTGGATACATTTAAAAGAACTTGTAAACCCTTGTTTTACTCATGGCAAACTCACGATTGGCCTTTGTTACATTTTATTTCATTTTTTACGTAAAATTTGATACAAATCCTCTGATCCATTATTTTAACAAACGAAAAATCTACTAGCTCATAATAAATTGTCTAACCTTGGCGGCTGCCACTGGCAAAGTAAAAAATGAATTCAGCTGAAAACTTTATCATATTTCAGAGACATGTGTACCATAATTATGGTACATTATACATAATAAAAAAAAAAATTTGATAATTGAACTCTCCAAACCCGAGAAATTTAAAAATTCCCGTTATTTTCTGAACACACCTCGTATAGAAAATGTAATCAGGAAATTTTTTTTTTTTTTAACTTATAGTACATAACATAAGCTTTATTTTAACATAATTTGAAGCTTGGAGTTAAATTTTCAAAACTTATGTTGAAAAAGTTGATTATTCCTCCATGGGTAAGTAAAGGATCAAAATTTCAAAAAGTTTATATTAAATAAAAGGAAAATACTCAAGGTATTTATGTAAAAAATTTTTTGGTACATTCATTTTTAAAAATTTATGTCAGTTATTAAGAAAAAAAATGTCAAAATTTAATATTTTAGAATTTATAATTTTTGGAGCAATTTCCAATACTTATAGGGAACCAGAAAATTTTTTTTTTAATTTTTAAGGGAAATGTCTAATTAGATACGATTTGTAATCTTTTGACGTGTCGTTGAATGAAATTAGTTTAGTGATAGCTGAGAAATAGCAGCAAAAAACATCATAATAAAATTAATACCTTTTTAAATTCTCATCAATTTTAAAAAATAGCCCTAGTAGACTTATAACTATTATTTTAATTATTTTTCTAGCATTATTAATATTAACTTTATCATGTTCAATATCAAACTCTAATTTATTTATTTTAATTTAATCCAAAAAAATGTAATTTTAGACTACAAATTAGATTTTATTTGAAAATTTGAAGTTGTACACATGTGCAAAAACTATAATGCTCTATTCTAACCGTTTGGATTGATTTTAGTTATTGTCAGAATCTAATGTTAAAGATGATTTATTGACATCTATCACAAATGAAGAAAAACAAAAAGAACAAGAAGCAAAGAATAATGTAATGGTATGTGACCAAATTTTATATAGTAATACTAATTTGCTTCAATAATAATAAAACTTATAGAAAATATTTTTAAAAATATACTTCTGAGTTACATATTTCTTTAAAATAACAAATCTAAAAAAACTTTAAAATATACAAAATTATAATTAATTTTTTTTTATAATATTTTATTTAGGTTATATGTGGTCGCTGTGAAGAGAATATGTTGTATAAAGATTATGAAGAAATACATAAACAGAAACATTATAATTTGTGTTGGTTAAAAGATGAGGATGAAATAGTGAGTTAAAAAATTATTTTGTTTTTAGATTAATCTAAAATTATTATTTTGAATATTTGTGTAATTTGAATATTTAAAGTACTAAATTATGTAAAACATAAATAAAAACTTGTTCTACCCTTGTACAATTTTAACCAATTTTTCAGAAAATAAAATAAGTGTTTTTTATTTTATTATTAATTAATCTTAGGATTTTGATGATGAAATATTAACACAGGAACTATTGAAACAATATTTACCTAAATATGCTGCACGTGATAAAAAAATAAAATTAATATGTGAATGGTGTGCCACTGTAAAGAAAAGTTTACCAGGTTTTACTAATCATTTAAAGAAATGTCAATCGAGACCAGTGAGTAAAATTTATATTAACTTTTTAAGTGAAAGTGCTTAAATATTTAATTTGGTCAACACAATTTTGTATATCTGTTATATTGTTGTTTTAATAAAAGAAGTTACAATAAAAGTTTTTTTTTCAACTAAGTATCAACATTTAAAATTTTTTATGTTGTATTAGTACAGTGTACTATAAATAATAATATATCAATATTTAATGCTAAATTATAAATTGTAAAATTCCATAATTTGTTAACTGGCTCACATCAATCTATTCCGTTGTCTATGTGCAAAAAGTGAAAATGCAAATTATAGTTTTGTAATCAATCTATTGCAGTTTATTTTTTTTTCTTATCACACTTTTGGGAAAAAAAGTTATTAAAATTTTAATATGATCTCTCATTATTGACTGTCCTTGTTCTTTTAACCTTTGTTCAGCATGAGCCTGATTCTTAAAAAAGATTGTAAATATTTTAAAAAATTTACATTTTGTAAGTTCTTGATCTTGGCCAACACTGGTCAGTATTAATAAGGTAATAAATATTTTAAGAAATAATCAATTCATTATTTTCTACAGGATAAAATTAGTTTAATAGATGGTAATGAAGATATTTGTGTTGTTAAATTTTATAATTCAGACAAGGATTCAGCTACGGTAAGCTATTAATAGATGATATTTTATGGTAAACTATTGAGACTATGACTGGAAGAGTGACTTAACCTAGTTTTGAAACTTGATTTCCAACACTTATACTTTATATTCGACCAAAACAGTTTAAATTATTATTTTTAGAATCTATGTAAAGTTTAAAAAATTTAAACAAACAATTATAATATTAAAATTTTTGATTCATATAAAATATTCTATTCGTGTTTATAGTTTATTTTTCAAAGCTACTCATACATTGATAGCCTTAGTTTAAAACATTACTTTATGCTCTTTCACATTTAATAGGTAAAATGTGGACGCTGTAAAAAAGAAATGACTTATAAAGAATATTATAATAAACACATGGCGAAACACTATAATTTATGTTGGATTGATGGAGAAGATAAACCTGTAAGAAAGTATAATAATTAGGGGTAAAAGTTATATGAATTTATGAATTTTTTTGGACTACTTTATAGGGTCACAAGTTTATGCAATTATATCATTATATAGTAGTGTGATAATTACGTTTTAGGGGAGGGTAACTATAAAATTATAATCTCAATAACAATATATTACCAAGTTTCAAGTCAATTAATTCAAATAAAATATTAAAAAAATATATAATATAAAAAATTTGTTCTAGCTGATCTTGTGTTCAGAGTAATTTAACCGAATTTATAAATGCATATAATTCCTGGCTCTAATCACAATAAACAATAGTGCTTTTTAAAAATGTATTTAAAATTTGTTTATTGTTTTTATGTTAGCTATACATTTTCACTTTAATATTTGACTAATTATTAATAATATTTTACTACAGAATTTTGATAACTATGAAGTTGTATTATCGTTGTTGAAACAATACATTCCTTTTAAAGTTGTACGTAATCGAGGAGTAAAATTAACGTGTGAAGATTGTAAAACTGTTAAAAAGAGTCTTCCTGGCTTTGCAAGTCATATAGTCTTTTGCAAAAAATCTGATATAGTAATATTTTTTATAAGTATTATGTTCATTGTTCTTTTTCTTTTTAAAAATAAATCTATAAGTACATTTATATTTTTAGGATACTAGACTTTTACTTGTGGAATGTGAACAATGTAAAAGAAAAGTCAAACCAACTTCTTTAGCAAGCCATAGGACAACTTGCTCAAATGCTATTGAAAAAAAGAAAAAAAATAGTCATTCTGTGAGATTGGTAAATTCATAATGTTTTATTAAATTTTATGTACTTTAAATTAATTCGTAATTCAAGTTATTTATTCATTTTACTTATAGAAGTATTAGTTTAATGTTAGTTAGTAAGTTTAATGTATGTAAACTATCTATTTTAGTTAATTAAAAATGTACATTATAAGTTACTAAATTAATAATAACTCATATTTATCACTCAATTAAAGAACTATTTAGATCGTTTTATTTGTTTAGACAATAAAAAAAGGTCCCATAAAATAACATTTAAACAAATTGTTTCTTGTAAAAATTATTTTATTATTTAATATTAAACTAACTTATATATTAGAAAATGACTGGTCGTTAACAACTTTTGGGACAATATTTCAGAAACTATTAACAATTTAAAGTAATGACTGGAGATGAGGAGTTAGTGCTGCTATTTTATCACTAGTAATTTTTCTACCATACTCTTTGTCCTATCTAAATATAAAAATGAAAATATCTTCCAAAGTACTAGTTCAAAAGTAATTTTTCGACTAGTTATTTTCTTAATTGGATCATTTTCTTTTTTAAAGCTTGTTTAATATATATGTTGCCATTTATAAAAATAAAGTTGATACCCCTATAAGATATAGGGATAGATCTAAAAAGTACTTTATAACAAATAAATCAAAATACATATGTTGCTAATAAAAACCAAAAAAAAAATTGTTTAAAAAACTTTTAATTTTAAGAAAAATTGAGTGGCTAGCATTAAAGGAATCACTTTGTATATTTAAAAAACTTTTAACTATACAAATTTGTTATTGATTCAATATGACAATTATTATATTTTTTAGGAAGAAGGAGATAATCTATACTATAGATTCAAAAGAAAACAAAGACCTCCAAATATACTTAGCTTTCATCCAGGCACAAAATATTTGACTGAGTATTATGTATGTATTAAATTCAATAATTTAATAATAATAAGAATTAATATATTTAAAAAAAAATTATTAAAAATTTTGTGATTTTAAAAATTCCCTTCATTATGTATATCAAGTAAAATGTACAAAATTTAACTAGCAACTCATAAAATCTGATTAACTCAACATTCACTTAAAAAAAAAAAATTGTGCATTCTTGTACTATATTAATTTATATTATTATTAAAAAATAATAATATTCCAGCTTAATAATTATTGTCACTACAAAATATTTAAGAAGTATTAATTATATAACAAAAAATATTAATTTTACAGGATTATTCATGCTATTTTTGTGAACTAACTAGCATGGATTTTTATAAATTAGTTAAGCATGTGGAAGTATTACATAATATTGATATTACTGAAATTAAAATCAACTCAAAAAAATATATAACAAGTAAAGTATTTCAAATTTACATAGTATTATTATCTAAGGTGTAACTAGGGAAAAAAGAAGCTTAAATCTCCTCATGACTAAAATAATTGGGTTATTGAGATAAAGTTTAGATCTTTTTCTATGTCATCCTGAGAGGGTGATGTCATAGCCCCTGTATGTGGCAAAATTTAATCACTGTGGTCAGTAATTTTTTCATATAAGAGCATATNGCAAAATTTAATCACTGTGGTCAGTAATTTTTTCATATAAGAGCATATTATTAAAAAAGGCCTCACAATTTAAAATAAATATTTCACAAGCATCCTATTTTTACTTTTTAGATAGCTATAAAAATATTGTACATTTTTTTTTCGGTATAATCCTACACCTTTATGATAATATCTTATGTATACCTTTAATTAATCAATTTAGTTTTTTTATTTTTAAATACAATGAAAAATTTTAGATAGTTATGATTTGTTTATGAATGTACATTTAAAACCATTATTGAACTATTATAATTTGTAAGTATTCATAAAAAAATAATTACTGGAAATTATTATCATTATTTAATTAAAAAAACATATATTAAAATGTCATTTTTCTTTAAATAAGCTTTAAAAAAAAGTTTTGGCATGAAAATTATTACGATTATTTGCAACCAAGAATACAGCTTTTAAACAATACAGATGCAGAAAAATATTTACCAGGTGTTCGAAAGTCATGTAAAATATTATGTAGTGAAGATAGCTACATTAGTGTTCATCTTTTTCAATCAATATACATAAATGGTAAGAGTTAACTAATTAGTATAATTTTTTATAAAATATATAGGATAATTAATTTTTAATTGTTGTGATTAAATAAAAAAATTATTGGAATAAAATTTTTCGTAATATATTTGTCTGTTATATTATCAAGTTAAAAATATTTTATAATAATTATTTTACTACATAATATTTTAGTTTTTCAAAAAACTAAATAAATGTTCTTGTTACAAAAATTTTAATTTTTCAATAGTTTTTGAGAAAATCCTGTGTACATTTTTTTTACCATTTTTAAAAAATTAATTTCTGAGAGTTACAAAAAAAAAATATATAAATTTTATTTGTTTAGACATGTATTGGCTTTTTACTGGTGGTCCTAACTGGTCTATGGCTTGGTGTCCAGTCCCTGAAAATGTGCATGTTCAATATTTAGCTGTATCTTGTCATCCAAATCCTGATCTCATTCATAAGGAAATAGGCTGTTACAAATATCCTTCACTTCTTCAACTTTGGATATTTGATTCCTTACATAATATTATGTAAATTAAGTTTCTTTAGCAAGCATTTTTGTATTTCATTTATCTTGATAAGTTAATTTTTATTTAAAAAATTGAGCATTTCTTTCATAAATACAAATATGAAAAAATCCAATGACATATGATTAATGATTTCTTTTATGATTTATTTCAATCTGTGCATTTTTTAAATAAATAAGCTAAGTGGATTGAATATCACCTAGTTGAATATATTTTTTACCTTTTCCTGATCAACTAGGAATGCAAATTTATTAAAAATTACTTTTTCTTTACTGTTGAATACTTTAAGTGTTGAGGAAATAATTTTTGTTGTCACTCGATAAATTTTGTTAAAAAAATGCACTGATATTAATAAATGAAATCAAAGGATATATAAGAAAAACACAAAGGCGTAAAAAACCTGTCGTAAAACACTCCTCTATAATTAAAAGGATTTATGCAAGGCAATCAGAAAAAAATTTTTAAAATACTTGATTTTATTAAAAAAGGATTTAAAATACCCTCAAAACATTTTAAAAATTACAAATAAACTAAATTGTATATCACTCAAAATTATGTTCCAAAAACTAACTCAATGATTATATTAATGTAAATATTAATACTTTACTTAATAAAATATGTTATAACTATGCAATTATTTTATATTAAATTATATATAACTATTGTATAATAATTTTGTATGGTTGGTTTCCATCTTAATACTATTAAATTTATTATTGCATAATATTTATTTTTATAAAATTTAATTTCTTAGTTAAAATTTAAATAATAGATGAAGCTTGTTTTAGTATTGTTATATTATAAACTTAAAAATATTATTATTTTTAATTGACAGTCATGATTCTAAAGATAGTATGCCACATATGTCTTATGGTATTGCACATGAATTTGGAGCTGTTTGGGATATGGCATGGTGTCCATCTGGTGCATATGAGCAAGATAAAAAAATAGGTTTATTGGCATTAAGTACATCATGTGGAGATTGTCCCATCTTTACCATGCCACATGTTATTAGTGATTTGGAAAAGTAAGTGAAAATAATACTTGAAATAAAATATAACTTTTATACTAGTTTTTTTAAATTTAGGTATACTATTTATAAAGCTAAACCAATAATAGCAAGAAATTTTGAATTTGAAGAAAACAAAGATGGTGTTCAGTGCACTAAAGTTTGTTGGCAATTAACTTCGCCATTTACGTTAGTAGATTCACAAGATATTATTTTTCACTAATTTATTACTTTTTATGAAAATATTCTCTTAAATTGTAGAACCCTAATATGTGGTTATTCAAATGGATTAATCAGCATATTTAATTTAAAAAGAAATTCAATATTTTTAAGCAATGAAATTTTGTACCCATGTAATACTTTTAGAGCAAGTAAAAGTATCATTACTGGTAAGTATTTCTTTTGTAAGATTTTTCATATTTATATTTCTATACTTGAGTCAGTTATAAAATTTATGTGTATGACATATTTTTACCAGAGCACAAGATATTTTTATACCTAAAAATTTTCAGTTTGTCAAATTTTAATTAACAGAAAGTAAATAAATAAAATTTCAATGACTTCCTAGATATACCCTAAAAATTGCCAAAATTACTCTCTTAGGCCTTCTTTAAATATGCAACTGGTAAATGTATATATACATTGAAAATATATTTGTGAATTAAATTTGCTTTATAGGGCTTTCTACAAACTTTTTGAATACTTCAATTCTGGCAACAACTGCGTTTGATGGCATAGTAAACTTATGGGATTTACAATTAACAGAAAATCCTATTTTTGAAACTAAATTTTACTGTTTATCTGACTGTTCTTGGTTACAGCAGTGTTATTTATTAATCCTTAGCTGTAAAGGTGTTAAGTATGTTACGTTGATAATAATTTGCCTTAAATTTAAGGAATAAATAGTTCATTTATTTGTTAACTTAGTTCAGCGTTTTCAAAGATGAGGAGTATCAATTTCTTAAACTGTAATGATGATTTTCATAATTACAATGATGAGTTATTTGTTTTAACTTCATCAGATAGTAATAATATAGTTGTAAATAGTGACATTGTTAACAAAACTGTTTCTGACACCATGATGGATGATAGTTTTGATCTTGATGAAAATGAGAAAATTAATACAACTAGTGATGCAGACTGTTGTGAAGAGAATAATGAAGAAAATGATTACAATATGAATGACAACGATGGTATAGATAATTCAAATTGCGATTTATCATCTGAACATTTAAATTTGAGTGATAATGAAGTCTCAAATACAAAACGAAAAAAAAAGAAAGTAAAAGAACATAATCAAAATATTGAAGAAGAACTCATATTGAAAGACCAAGAAGATGAAGACTTCTATGGTCCCTCATTTTTCCAAAGTGGTATTCATTGGGTATGAATAAAATAATTGTTTAAAACTACTACTTATTGATAGAAAATCTCTACTATTTTAGTCAATAACTGGTTCAAATTGGATGAATTTAATTGCTACTGGTGATGAAAATGGAAATGTTTATGAAAATCATTACTCTGTGGATACCAATCAAATAAGAAAAAAAAATATAGTAAAGTTTTTAAAATTTTTATCAGTATTAATATAAACAAGTTTGGGTTACCATTTAATCTATCCTTATTAAATAAAAGTCTTAAAGCCTAGTTGTTAATTTTAGACAATTATTTAAATAGAACAGTTTTTTTTATCAGAAAATTTGAAAAAATATTTAGACTTTTAAGTTGGAAGTTATGCTATTTTATCCTATCAGTTATTATATTTTATAATGATATGTACAATATAGATTATTTGGACTAGTATTTCTCAAATAAGCTATTATTTTTCTATAATAATAACTAAAATATATAAAACTTAACTCTTTATGTAATAATATTACTTAATGAGCATTAAAGAATAAATAAAAAGATTATTATATTTTATGAAATTAAATAAAAATAATTTTTTTTAATAGCTTTTTTATTTAAAAAAAAAAATGATATTGTTAAAAACTTTAACCCAATAAATGTATCCTATTAATAAAATGTATTATTTTAGAATATAGTTCAGGTATCTGTCAAAAAAATGTCCTCCTATTGCTCAAGTCAACCAGAATTATTAAACCTAAGTTATTTTAAGGATACTATACAAGCCTTTGCACTTGAAGCAAAATCTGTAAGTTTTTAATAATTTTTTATTTTTTATTTTAATAACTATGATTATGGAATATTTAGTATCCAACTGATAATGATATTAAAGCTCACAAAAAGGATGATAAATCACTATTAAGATATCCGTTAGAAAATATTACTAAGGTAAAGCTTAGAATTGATATTTAAATAATAGTTGTTCAATAATAATTAAAAAATATTATATAGTTTTATTGTTTAATTTTAATAACATTATTTTGTCTTAAAAGATTACCACTAAAGAAATATAACTTGAACTTAATATTCTTAGGTTATTAGAATTTCCTTAAAAATAATAAGTGTAATATTGGCATTTACTATGCAACATACTGTATAATAACATTTAGTAAATTAAGTTTTTTTTTTAATTTTATTGTAATCATTGTTTCTAAGTGAAACACAAAAGTGATTATTTAACTTATAATTGATTTATAATTAATTTTAATATTTGTACTCTCTAATTAAGTTATAATAATAAATAAATGATTATAATTTTTTCCTTGTTCATTAAACTAAAGAATAATTTTTAAAATAACTTTTTTAGGTTTGTTGGAATCAAAATTTCACGTCATTTAGATGGTTAGCTATAGGTACTCAAAGTGGTTTTACGCTAATTACACCTTCAAAAAACCTATCCGAAAATTTGTTACAATCATTTTATGATGCAGTATCAACAACTTATGATAATATATCTTGATCCTGTTATTTTTAATGAACCTTATTGTAATAAAATATTGATATTTTAGATCTTTGTTTTAAGTATTTCCTAATAAATAATTTTTTATTAACTTAGTGACTGGTATATTTTCATACTTGAAATTCTTTAAGAATACCTTAATTTTTAACTTGAATGAATAAAACTTAAATGAAAAATAAAATAAATACTTAACTTGTTAATTGTTAATTTTGTCAAGTTTAAATGTGTTATTCTAAGAAAAAATGCTTAATGTCTTTGATTTTAAAATTTAACTTATTGGGCTATGTTCTTTTACTTCACTAGTCTAAATTGTAATAAATAACAAAAGTTACATAGAATTAAACATTTTTATTAAGAATAATTAATAAATCATCAAATTTTCTGTTTAACATTTCAATATTATTAGAAATTAAATTAATTTTTTGTTCCAAATGACATAGTTTATCTTGTACTTGTTTTTCAAGTCTCTCAAAACCATTTTGTAGACTTTGACAACAGTTATTACTAAAAGGTGTTTGTGTATGTTTCATATTAATTAGAAATGAATTTAAAACATCATTTTTTACATTTGGTGAATTTTTTATACTTAATGAAGATAATAATTTCGAAGCATTTGTTGCTAACATATTAGGATTTAACATATCTTGAACATTTTGTAAATTAATAGGTCCAATTGAATTAAATGAATAAGCTTCAGTTTTCAAAACTTGAACAAATATGCCATAAATCCAAATAAAATCTACATTTTCCAACCTTTCTAAACTCAAACTGCAAGAATTTAAGTTATTTGTTTTAATTGAGTGAACATTGAATCCCCTTATTTCTTGCGAGGAATCAATATTATGGGTTGAGATGTACTCATTATTTTTACCAAAAAATTCAATAGTTTTGGCCTAAAAAAAAAACATTGATAATTATTAATTAAACAAGGAATTTAAAAATAAATCAATTTTACTTCTGAACAAACAGTGATATTGTTTATCAAATAACCAGGTTTGCAATTAATTAATAAACAACATTTTTGTTGGTCATCATTTGGCTTGAAAAAGTTAACACAATTAGTCTCTTCTATGATACTAGAGTAATCACTAAAACAAATAAATCTGCAATAAGCTATTGTATAATTAAAGTAAAATGTTTATACATTTCATAGTTTTCTTTTGTCTGAATCACTACACAATTTTCTATGTCTTTTCCCTCAATATTTGATGACCAATTACAATTGATGTCAATAAAAAGTTTACAATCCAATTTTTCGACACACATCCTTCATAATATTATATACTAAGTAGTAGTGAATTTATTTATATTAACTTGATTTTTGAATTTATTTTAGAAATCATTTATTTCGTAAATTATTTTAATAATGATCTAGTTATACTAAATTATATATAGATGTGAATACGAATAGTAACAACCTAATTCAAAATAAATATATGATGATTTTATCTACTACACAACCGCAACTTAGTATATCACAGAATAGATAAGATCTTATCTATTCCATGGTAACACATAATTTTAAGAGGACGCCACCCCGCTGTAATTTTAGGCTTAAAAACTATCAAAAGTATAATCTTTATTACACGGTTTAAAGTGATCGTAGAAATTTGAAATGTTGAGGATATTTAAATAACAATATTTTGAAATGTTTGTAATGGGCTTTTTTTCTTAAGATTTATATTCTAGCCGTAACATTTTTGTAAAGATACAAGTTTTTTTTTTTTAACTTATACAGTTTATTTATGAATAGTGATATCTTAAAAAGCCCATTATAAACATTTTAAAATCTTACATTCTTCGCCTTCCCGAAATTTCAAAACTCTAAGATGAAATATAACAGAATATGATAAATTATAAGTCAAACATAAAAATGAAGAATAAATGTAAAAAACTGCGCTTTTTAGTCGAGTGGATAAAAATCGTACCACAAGCAGCGAGTTGTCGCATAGATTAAATACACATAGATAGGCCACGGCATTCAGACAATTGGCAGCCGATTTTTTGTTAATTTATAAACGTAAAGATAGCGCTATATATCCTCTTGGAAATATTTAATAATAACTGTCCAGTTTGCTGATATTCGAGTAATAGTCACGATTATTGATGTACGGCTAACACCGTTAGCGCAAATTAAGATAAGAACCAGTTATTACTAAAAGGCGATTGCTTATTTTATTTAAATGAAACTTTTCCTTTTAAATACAAATTCGATAAAACATATGTTTTAGCTTCGATGCGAAACTGAGAAGGTATTAATTTTACTATGATGTGTTTTTTTTTTTGTGTCTGTATACGCTCAATCTCAGCTCTCACTGAACCGATTTTGATGAAAAATATGTCAAAAGATCACAAATCGTATCTAGTCGAAGACATTACCCTCAAAAATTGAAAAAAATTCTCTCGTTCCCCGTAAACGGGGGAAATCCCCCAAAAAATTACAAATTTAAAAATCGCTAATTTTCGATTTTTTTTCATTTTTTTTTTACTTAAAATTGCCATATCATTTGGTTTTTTTTTTTTATAAATCTAACCCTTTACCTGCCCACAAGAGGGATTCAAAATAATAACTTTTTTTTTTTTAGTTAAAGTAAATCATTAAAATTAATTCAGTTCTGGATATTTCAATTGTAGAATCTTTTTAAATACCAAAAATTACTTAGAAATGATTACTATGATTTCTATTTAAGTGTTCTATTACGATATAAATGCAAAAAATAATGAGTTTTTCTGATAAATATACTGTAAATAGTAATTATAAAATTTCCTANAAAATAATGAGTTTTTCTGATAAATTTACAATAAATAATAATTATAAAACTTTCTGACTGCATATTAATCTTAAAAATAACATTGTTTTAATTCTCATAAAATTTTCTATTTAATGATTCATTCTAGTCAACGAAGGAGTAATTTTGGTAAATAACAGTAAAAAATCGCAACCAAATTTTTTTTTTTTTTAAAGTAGGAAATTGGTGGATTATTCCAAAAGCAACATCAACTCTTATTTCTTTAATTATATCCTGATTAGTAGTTCTTTGATTTTAAAATATAATATATGTAATTTAAACGTAGAAATTATAAAAATAATAAAGAAGTTATATTTTGCTTTACTTTTACGTGTATAAAAATTTAAAGGGCTTGATACAATAATTTTCAATAAAAACTGTTTGTTACTATAAAAAAATGCACTGGACTACAAGGAACTTTCATCAGAAGCAAAAATATACTTTTCTAAATCAACTTTTCGCGTTGTTTTCAAATCTGCAAGTAGACTTTTTCTATCACTTCTAATTGTTTATATTATTACTAATTATATATAAAATAATAATTAAAAGAAAAAAAAAATTTGTTTTCAAATTATTACTGATTTGATTTTTACTATGTTAAAAATAATCAGCCCAAATTTTCAATGTTAACCTATTTTTTTGGTTCTTTAAAGTTGATGAAAAATTTTTGATAAAGATTTATGAAAGTTTTTAGTAAAATAAATTGAATATATTACCATAACTTTTAGCTCAATTACAAGTTTAAAATTGACATCTAGGCCAGTCAACAAAGGAAAAATTGCGGAAAAAATTCCCAACCAAATTTTGTTTTTTGAAAAGTTGAATTAAAATATGTATAATGACATACTAATAGTCCTCATTGATTGGAATTGAGCATTTACAGCCTCGAAAAAGTTTAAATATGAGCTTTTTTAATTTTCTTAAAAAATATTTAACTTACAAAAAAAAGTTTCGTACAAAAGTTGTTTAAAAGACAATTATAAACAAAAAAATTATCTTATATTTTTTCATTTAAACAAATGTTTTTCGAATTACATTACATTTAATATGAGTACTAAAATTTATATTCCATTTTTTTCATTTTACGGTTACTTTTAGCTTCGATGCGAAGCTGAGAAGGTATTGGTTTTACTATGATGTGTTTTTTTTTTTATTATTTTTTTTTTGTGTCTGTTACCACTTTTTCTCAGCTCTCACCGAACGGATTTCTTTCAACGATACGTCAAAAGATCACAAATCGTATCTAGTCGAAGACATTACCCTT